AATTTGAACAGGGTGCTTTTCACCCCCTCGTCCAAATCAGGCATGGCACAAGACAGAAAAATACATAAAAAGCAAAGAAAGTGTTTGGGACCAAAGTTAGTCATCAGGGTTACAGCTTACTCAGTAAATACAAGTATTGAACCAAAAACCTAAATTAGAAGTTATCCATAATAATATATCAAGAAAAATTAGCTAAATTACTAGAATATAAGAGTGAGAAACTGCTTGCAATCAGTGATTAAATTCGTTTTGATTATGACAGTGACAATACTCCATTGACTTATCAAATGACACATACTATTTATGAATGGTCTCAAGCACCAACAACCTTTACAATGAGACTCTCAAGTGAGATAGGAATATACGTCTAGATATTAGTGTGCTACGCAAGGATGTTATTTCATAAAAGAGCTGTCACGAAGAATGCAGGGGGGGGGCTCAGAGGGCTGGTTTCCAAGCAACCTTACGCAGGTACTAAAAAAAGATGTTTAGCTTTAGCAGAAGTTCTAGGTAGCCACTGAGCAACATGAGTTAGCAGCATTTGTACATTACTACTACCAGCATGTATTCTTTGTCGGGACAGATCCTCAGCTGGGATTGATCAGCACTTGATACAGCTGAAATGAGGGCACAAAGAAGCCCTTTATGTCTGTACAGTGTTTGGGGGTTCTCTCGGCCAGGATGATTCTTGGCATATATTACAACAGCTGAGAATTCCTCCGCTACGTACTCTTTCATCTAGAATTGCTCCTTGCACTGGCAGTTGATGGTGCAAGGGGAAAGGAAGGTATTATCAGTCTGGTTCTGTCACCCTGGGATTTCCTACCTGCAGGAAATTTTCAAGCCTACAGCTAAGCTGACTCCAAGAATGCTTTGTATCAAAGGGACAGTATGGCAGCAGTAATGCCGGTGGTCAAAACCGTTGTACGTTTAATAAAAAATAATGTAGATTTCTAAAAATAATTTCTAACATATATTAAATTCAGATTAATCTTTTATAACTAATCTGAAAGCAAGTTGCCTGTGCCCAACCTGCTGTTTATAAATGCTCCAGGAGTCTGAATATTTGCATTCAATAAGGCTCCAAAACACTGAAAGGCAGCACAAGGGGAATCACACAGATTGCATAAATTTGTAAAAGCAGATTTCTACATGAGAATGCTATTTCCATTCCTTCATTATTCCAGCTCAGCCCTGTAACTAGCAGAGCTAATATATGACAAATGGAGTTGGCAGGTATTTTAGAATCAATGCCAAGTGCGTGATTCAGAAAAGAACCATACAGTTTACCTTGCTCCGAATTTCTTGTAAAATAATGAACCAAAATTCCATTTAGCTTTAACCCCATTCTTTCTCTGATGTATTGTCCATAAAAGCAGAGAATTTTTACAACCATTCAGTTCTGACTGTTGCTCTTTGACCCAAGATCTCTAGGCATATCAGAACATAGATACAATTATAGATATTCAGTTATCACAGACTGCAGCTTCTGCCAATTGTAAAGTAGAACTTGAAGCTATTAAATCTTCTTCCATTGCCAAAAGTCTTCCTAGACTGGGATGTTTGGGACAGACTTGGGAGTTTATGCATTCTGCTTAATCAGATATAAAAGGAAACTACAGTGTACTCCTTTTCAATCCATCACCTCCAGTCTGAAAAGAAAGACTATGTATTTAGCCAGAGTATTCACTTACCTAAACACAATGTAGCCAGTGATGGCCAATCTTTTTGGCAAGTGTACTTCCTCCCACCCCCATCAGTGCTACTATCAGCTTTGGAGCCGGTTGCACATGTCTGGGGGGTAGACTTCTCAGTGGCTGCTCCAGTGCCTTGTTTCCTTTCCCCTCCATATACTACTGGACATGGACATAGAGCTGTGCCTCCTGTGATAAAAAAAAAATCCCCAGGGGTAATGCTGTTCTGCTCAAGCCTTCACCACCTACACACTACTGTGGCACAGGGTTGCCATCTTCCATGGCTGGGCTGTGCCTATCATAGCAAACCTCCTGGGGGAGGTGGAGGGGTATTCTGCTGCCCCCTGCCACAGCTGATGTGCAGTCAGCTTGCTCCTCAGGTGCAGTATGCATCACCAGAGTGCAGAGAGCTGGGGCAGATAGGACATTCTACAGTAGTGAGCATGGTGCTCTGTCTGTGCCACTTGAACCTTTAATGGAGTAGCAGTGCCATCTCCTGCCCTATTTGCAGAGAAGATGGCAGAGTCTGGTAGTACTGATTTCTCCACAGAGAAATTGAGTAGATGAGTGGTGTGCAGCGAGTGTGATGCGCCCTACTGCCCCCATGGGCCTCCCAGCCCGGGCAGCTTGGGCTCAGAAAGTACCATTTTTTGCTTCAGCCTAGTGTGGGAGTGGGCACAGCTGCCCCCTTGAAGCTAACACTCCTACCAGTCCAGCCTCAAGTGTCACTCACAGCAGCTGCATGGGCCTTGTGTGTCATGCATGCCATTAGTTAGCCACCCCTTATGCAGGCAGTGCTCATTGGGCACATCTACACATGCTATTAATGCTATAAAGGTTTCCTGTGCAGTAAAATACTACACAGTAAGCCTCCTCTGGGAGCATGAGTACAGGCACTCTTTGTTGGGAGCAAATCTGCTCCCAATAGGACCAGCCTGGTACAGGGCTGCTCCTACCCTGCTTTGGCCCCCTATACCAGCCAAGAGGAGCTCCAGGGTCCCCTGGGGTGCTAGCCAGGGGACTGGCAGGGAGTACAGGGGTTGGTCCTGATATACGCAGGGTCAGGAGAGCTCTGCTGGCTGCAGCAACAGCTGTCTTCTGGCCCTGTGCACACCAGGAGGGGTCCTGATATGCACAGGGCTGGGGGACAGCTATTGCTGCAGAGCTCGCCCAACCACATACACATGGGTATGGGGACAAGCCCTGTGCCCAGCAGGGCTTCCCTGTGCAACTGAGGGCTGGCTGGGCAGGAAAATCCCCTGGGAGTGGGACAGTTCCCAGCCAGCCTTGGGTTGCTCAGGGATTTTCCTGCATAGCCAGGGGCTAACTGGGAGCTGTTCCAGAAGCAGGACAGCTCCTTGCCAGCCCCTGACTGGGTGGGGATGCAGAGAGATCCCTAGTCCTAGTGCTGCTAAGTGGAGCTGGAAGACGAGCAGCACTGGGACAGAGTGGGACAGACACCTACCTCATG